TCATTGTTGTTTGGCGGGCCAGGTTGGATTCGAACCCGCCACCGTATGTGGCTGGCGCCTTAGCCACTTGAGCCACAGGTGCCGAGCCAGCCTCAATTCTTTTATTAGCTCTGCCCCACTTTGCCCCTTGATTTCCTGGCATTCCTGGCAGCGGCATCTGTGGTCTGTCAATCCAGTGCATTTTCCTGACATTTTCCGTTGCCTTGGTGTGATTCTGTGAAAGATTTGGGACATGGCATGTTAGTCCCACCATTAACAAGAGGTAGAGGGCACCTCTGAGCACTATCCCCCAGGTATGTCATAGCCCTAACAGGTATGTCTGTGTGACAGACATGGTTAGTCAGCATTCACCCAGCAAGACTGTAGGAAGATTAGTTCTGTATGAGTCATGACGCATAGGTGCTAGAGCAGCAGTTCTCAACCTGTGGGTCGTGACCCCTTTGTAACAATGAAAATACATCCTGCATATCAGATATTTACATTACAGTTCTTAACAGTAGCAAAATTACAGTTATGAAGTAGCAATGAAAATAATTTTATGGTTGGGGGTCACCAGACATGAGGAACTGTATTAAAGGATCATGGCATTAGGAAGGTTAAGAACCACTGTGCTAGAGGAATTTAGGGCTACAGAGAGAAAACATTGCTCCACGATTCCATTCCAGATCGCCACAAGCGCTTAGCACAACTGCAGCAGTCTTCCAAGAGGAATCCTCACTACCAGACCTTGGAGCGGGATCTCATTGAATTACAGGAGCAGCAGCTGTTTGAACTTTTTGTGGTGGTGTCTCTACAGAAGAAACCATCAGGAATAAGCTATATTCCCCAGATCATACAGCAATTCCCAAGCAAGGTAAATACCAGGAGGCCCATGGGCATTCAAGAATGTTCCTGTGTCCCCGTGTGAATGTATTTCCTATCTTCCTGTTTATTGTTATTCAACCAGCTTTCACTAATACTGTACTTGGGATAGGACCTAGTAAGTAACTTTGATGACATGCTGGGCATAAGCTGCAACCAAGGGAGAAAAACAGAACAAGCTCATTCTCCAAGTTAGTTTTTTGTTTTTGGCAGTTTTGGGCCGTGGCTGCCCCAGTGTATGGGGCCGGCGCCCTACTCCTTGAGCCACAGGCACCACCCTCTCCAAGTCAATTTTTTCTTTTTGGCTCGGCTATTTAATAATCTCTAGCAAGTTACAAAGCCTCAATTTTTTCATCTTTGAGGAGGGGAGTAATAAATGTGGCAGGCTAGGCATGGAGGTTCACATGTATAATCTCAGCACTTTGGCATGGCAAAGAGGGAGGATCACTTGAGGACAGGAGTTCAAGACTAGCTTGGGCAACATAGCAAGACCCCCATCTCTCCATTATTGAATTCATGAATGTATGAATAAATAAATAATTTCTTTTGGCCAGGCATGGTGGTGCCTGCCTATAGTCCTAGATACACAGGAGGCTGAGACAGGAAGATCACTTAGGCCCAGGAGTTCGAGGCTGTGTGAGCTATGAAAACACCAGGGTATTCCAACTTGGGTGACAGCAAGACCCTATCTCAAAAAAAAAAGAAAGAAAGAAACAGTATGAATTCTAGATCTAAAAAGAAAAAAGTGGCTGAATAGGGTAGTAGCAGTTTAGAGGGTGGACTCTGAGTCAACTCGTGGCATTGGCCACTTGTTAGCTCTGTGACCTCAGTTTCTTCATTCATAAAATGGGGATAATCATAATAGTATCCACCCCTTTGAATTGAAGTGAGGATTAAAAGAGCTAATTTGTATAAAACACTTGGAACAGTGTCTGACATATACTAAGTTCTATATAATATCAGCTATTATTAGTAAATTTAATGAGGTTATGTATATTAATGCAGTTTCTGGCCTAGTATGCATTGAGTAAATGATAGCTATTATTATTAACAATATTACTTGAGGCTGGGGGCCCATAGCACAGTGGTTACAGCACCAGCCACATACACCAAGGCTGGTGGGTTTGAACCTGGCCTGGGCCAGCTAAACAACAACAAATGCAACAAAAAATAGCCGGACATTGTGGTAGGTGCCTGTAGTTCCAGCTGCTTGGGAGGCTGAGGCAAGCAAATCACTTGAGCCCAAGAGTTTGAGGTTGCTATGAGCTGTGATGCCATAGCACTCTACCAAGGGCAAAATAATGAGACTCTCTCTCAAAAAAAAAAAAAA